AATGAATAGGGTTCAAGACAAGATGGCAATTGTCTTTGCATTTAAAGGAAGAAATAAGTCGGAAAGGTGTTCTCCAGGTGGGTAGTGTGAGAAAAGAAACTGAGTAGAAGTGGTAGTTCCATCTAGCTAGTCCAGCAGTAAAATGGTGCACTGAGGCCACACTTTGATGCAGTCTGTGCCAGTTCCCTACTCCATATGTTACATTAGATGACCGACTGCTACTACTAACCTAGGCTTTTCCTTACCAATAAAACACAACTTGACTATAAACCTGAATCAGCTTAACAAAAAACACCTAAACCAGTTAAACTTTCCTTCTCCAATATTCATGGTATTTGTGCCAACTTCTGCAGTATAGAATTGATCCTCTCATAAAAATCTTTGGACATTCTAGCTCTCTGTGAATCCAACCTTAACACTTCAATCCACTCCTAATTTCTCGATCCTTGGCTGCCTTCCTCTCCTTAGAAAAGACTCTTAAGTCCACATGCATAGTCTGAGAGTTTATGTCCACAAACATCTTCCACCAGCTAGGGAATTCTCTCTTGAATCTCCAGACCATTCATACATGTCTCTGTCTCTCTCTACTTAACTCAGTTAGGGGAATGGTAGAGAAAGAAAAGATACCTTTCTCTCAATACTGTTGCATGCTAGATAGTATTTCTGATAATATAGACAAGGCCATCTCCCTATGCCTGTTTGCAAACATTCATGTTTGACTTTAAAGCCCACCATACCACGTGGCTTAAACACTCTGTCACTGACCTCACTGGTATCCAAACCCTTAACTTTACAATCCCTCAATCTCTCACAGAAGTGGTTGACTTCCTTGCGCAATTCCCCAGCAGCCCGGACGGAAACACTTCTCTTTTACCTCAATCCCTGATTTTTGTTGTATGACGCAGCTCTATTCTCTTGGCAACTCTGATCATGTGATAGTGTCTGCTCCCCCACCAACCAAGAACCTCCTACCAACAGAATATCTTTATCAATGAGCAGACTGGGACTAATTCCATGATTTACTTCATGATGTACTTTGGAATGAAGTTTTTAATCATCCTATTCAAAAATGTGCATCTGAGTTTTCCTCCTGGGTGAAAGCTGGCATCAATGCCTTCATTCCAGCAACAAAATACCAAGTTAAACCACGTTCATCTCCTTGGTTCTCACCTGCATACTCAGTCACTATAGCCTACAGAAATCACTTCTTCTGGCTGTACCAGAGCAATGTCTGATTGCAACAGACATCTTTGTCTCTGCTTGTAATGATTGCAAGCATGTCCGCAATGAAGCAAAGTTACTGTTTGCTGACAGAATGAAACAATGTATACCATCTCATAAATTTGGTTCTAGAGACTACTGCAAGAGTGTGTTGAACAACAGTAAATTCTCAATTCCCCACCCCTCTAGTCAGTCAGTTCAAAGTCCTAACATCTACAGCAGATAAGGTTTAATGCTGCTCAGAAATTCTCATCCAACTCAACACTATTCATCTGGAGCACCCACACCTGATATGTACATAACTGTTGCTGGTCTTGGACATCATTTCTAAATTAGATTCCCATAAGGCAAGTGGAGGTGACAGGATACCTACTGGCATCTTAAAGAAATGTGCTCCTGTGCTGGCTCCAGTTCTCTCCAAACTATACAACTACTGCTTCCTAGCTTGTTGGAAGTCCTCCTTTGTAGTCCGTTTTTAAAGAAATCTCTGGAACCTTCTGACCCCTCTAACTACCACCCCATTTGTCTCCTACCACTTTGTGGTAAAGTATTCAAGGCTTTAATCAATGGTGAAGTGGTTAAGCATCTTACCTCTCACAACCTACTCTCTGACAAACAATATGGTTTCTGCACTATTTACATTATTTGGATTGTCCTCATCTTTGTCACCATATTTATTACGTTTCGGCCGTTGTATGCTCCGGCCTTTTTCAAGTTGTTGGAATGTCGAACTGAACCCTTTATTTCTCTCGCTGAGGTAGACTGTTCTAGTTCCACGTGCCATGTATAATGGATGCCAGTTGTCAGTTATCTCTTAATTCTCCTCTGCAAGTTCTCCACTGTCTTAACCGGGTATTGAACTCTCACTCTTTGGGTTCTGTCACTGGATCTAACTAATGCCTTTATCCACTGTGCCATGGCGACAAAGATGAGGACAATAGTCTGAATAATGTAAATAGTGTATATAATACCTCATCTCAGAAATATAGACAGACAATATGGTTTCTGTTTTGTCTGGTCTACCACTGATGTGCTTACAGATATAATTGAATATGTGTATCAAATTTAACCACTGATTGGAGGTCCTTTTTGAAAGCAGTGACCAGGTTAACTGGGGCAGAAAATGGCTTATAAATTTCACTCTCTCCAAAACTAAATTGCTCCCATTTAACCACCATGGAAAAATTTCCCTGTCCACCATTAGCATAGCTGAAGTTCAACTCCAGAAGAGTGCCTCTCTGCACCTCCTTGGCTTTCACATTTTTGACATTTGAAGTGGAATAACTACATTGAATCAATAGCTGCATCTACTGCAAGGAAAACTGGTTCATGTTGTGCCAGGTTTTTCTTGTCAGTCCATATTGCACATCTACAAATCTATCATTCATCTGTGTATTGAATACTGTTGCCATATCTGGTCTGGTGCTGCTGCTGTTCCTCTCAAGGTTCTTGGCAAAATTCAAAGAATCTGTAATGTAATTAATCTTGACTTGGCATCTTGACTGCTGTCACTTTCTCACAGATGTGATGTAGCTTCCCTCTGTCTTTTCTACAAATATTTTCATGGCAACTTCTGACAACTACATGAATTTAAGCATGCTACTAGACTGGCATCTAGGTCCCACTCTTTTTACTGTTGAAATATCAGGTCATCCCATGAGTTCTGTCTGAATTTTAACTTTTTGTTAAAATGAACAAAATTTAAAGAGTATTTTATAATGTCTAATGAAGCTGAACATTATTTTTATGCTTAGATGCATTTAAACTGATCAAATTTTATTTCAGAGAACAATAAAATTAAATTTTGTTTGATTAAAACCCTGCTAACATGGAAGTACCCAAGAATCATTTGAGGCACATAATGCTTTGAGTTGAAGAAAGGAAACTCAGCAGCCGAAGCAGCTAGAAACATTCACTCAGTTTTTGGAGAGGAATGTGTGAATGAAAGAACTTGCAGAAGATGATTTGCAAAATTCAGAGGTGGAGATTTCACCCTTGAAGATCGAACCAGACGTCCAGTTGAGTTTGATGAAAAGCTTCTTGAAGCAACCCTTGAAGAAAATCCTGCTTTATCAGTTGAGGAATTGGCAGTGGTTCTCAGTTCATACCATACAACTGTTCATTGTCATCTTCAACAACTTGGAAAAGTTCCTAGACTTGGAAAATTGGTGCCTCATGAATTGTCTGAAAACGACCTCAAATCCCGAGTTAACATCTTTTCTCTCCATTCTCGCCAACTTGTTTCACCTTTTTTGGATAGACTTGTGACTGGCGACGAAAAATGGATCTTTTATCGAAATGTTAAGCATCATAGACAGTGTCTTAGTAAAGGGGAAGGACCCCAGCCACAGCCGAGAAGGAAACTTCATGGGCAAAAGTTTCTTCTTTCAATCTGGTGGGATCGCCAAGGAATAATCCACTTTGAATTCTTACCATCTAATGCAACAATTAATTCTCAAATATACTGTCAGCAATTAGAGCGTTTGAACCAAGCTTTTAGGAAAAAAAGACCTGCTCTAGTGAATCAAAGTGGTGATTCATCAGGCCAATGCGTGACCCCCACACAGCAAAAATCACGTCACATAAGATCGAAGAACTTGGTTGGGAGAAAATTCCTCATCCACCTTATTCTCCCGATCTTGCTCCTTCAGACTACCATTTGTTTCGTAGCTTACAGAATTATTTGGAAGAAACGGCTTTTATAACACAGGAAGAGGTTAAAACTGATATTTATGAGTTCTTCCAATCAAAGCCAAAAGAATTTTACAGTAAGTGAATTAGTAAGCTTGTTAATAGATGGAAGGAAGTCATAGATAATCAGTGAAAATACATTGTTGATTGAATCTGTAATTAAATGTAACATTTGGTCACTTTTCTTTATTCAAAATTCGGACAGAACTTATGGGATGACCTGATAGTTAAATGTAACTGCCATTTCTACTTCAACAGTTTCTTTTTTTGCACTTCCTGACAGTCGAACTCCCTTCCTCTTGCTTGCTTCCCTGATAATATAATCTTCAGAAGTTTAAATGGAGCATCAATCACCATCTTTTTTGGTCTTGAACGTCACTCACTTTTTTATCCTTTCATCAATCCCTCCTGTAACCCCTTGTGTACTAGTAGCACTCCTGCTTTGCTTTGGATGAATTGCTTAAAAATAAAAACAAAAAACAAAGCCTAGTTGGTTATCTAGTAGCATGCTTAAATTCATGTAAACTAGGCACCAGGGGCTGGGAGAGCTCATCAGAGCAATTGCTATGAAAGTATTTGTAGAAAAGACTGAGGGAAGCCATGTCACAAAGTGAGAAAGTGTCTGAAGTTTAAATGCCTGGTCAGGATTGCTTACATTACAAACCTTATTTGGGACTTTGTCAAGCAGGAGCCCCAGACTAGGTGTGGCAATGGTGTTCCATGTGTGGATGGATGGTAGATTTATAAATTTGCAAGGTGGATTTTGAGAAATTTTCTGGCATAAGACGGTGAACCAACTTTCCTTGTATTATATGTATCAACTGAAATGCCCCCCCCAACCTTACTTACAAAAATTATGCTTACATATGTTTTTTTTTTTTTTTTTTTTTTTTTTTTTCTGCAAACTTTTAAGTAACAAGTTTTGATCATTTTCTCTCAAATGTTTTTGTGGTGTGACTTAGTTTTACTTCAGTATTGATTGCTGATAAGTTATGTGAATTGTCTCTTTATTCTTGTTTTTAAAACATGTAAATGTTTATTTTTCCTTTAGTATTTTGTTTATTTGTTTATTTTTCTTTTCTCTACAGATGTGCCATGACGTGCCATGAGCCCCATCCTCCATCAGAGGAGGGCCCTAACCATTGTGAGGAGGGTCCCAAGCCTCCAGAGGAGTTGGTGGGTAACACCACAAAACATGCTCTGCTCACCTTGTATGAGGAACTACTGACAGAGGTGCAATTAGCAGAAGAGGCTCAGCGCTCACGCAAGTTCTCAGAGCAGCTTTATTGCTTCAATCACAAGAATGTGAAATCAGTGCTTCACTGGACAAGTTTTTTGATTTTATTTGTACTTGCCATCTTCTTGCTCATTGGTTATGGATATCGACACATTGAGTATGTAAATATTGTTCTTTCTTTTTTTTGTTTTAATGCTCTTCTTGGTTTAACAAATTTTTCACTATGAGACTGTGATCAATTACAAAGTTTTAGGGAAAATGGAAACAAAATAGACAATTATACTTCAGAAAGATAATTGAAATTTCTAGAACATATGAGGAAAGAGGGCTTGGAAAATTTGACTAACACAGGACATCTTGAATGCAATAGGGATAGAGAAAAGCAGCCTAACGAGCTTGTGTAAATGGCTGGCAGAACAGGGTTTAAGAGAGATAGCAAAAAGACAAAAATTTGCTTATAGCTACAAAGTACAATAAATTCTGGAGCCATGGTCACCCATGTCCTGAAGAGGGGATGGCACATAGAAGATTATGTACACCTTATCTTGTACATATACAGTGTTTAAATGATATTTAAAAAAAGTTATCTAAAAACATTTTATATAGTTCTTAAGGTCTGTTTGAAATTTGTTCTATAAAGTTAATAGTAGGAAACAGTTTTCAATTGCTTTGTAAAGCTCCCTATGTAAACCTTTCAAAAACAAACTATAATCTAGAACTGGAATGAGTATTAACATAATTGAATCCATCAAAAATTCAAAGTGAAATTAATAAATTTTAAATACTTCTAATATCTCGCTAATGTTCAGATTGTACAAGAGCCATTCTAGGTAGTTACAGAATAAGATCCCTAGTTTATGAGGATATGTGGGGAAGATGATGGTTAATCATAGACTTGATCAGGTTAAGATTGTAGTGATCTGGAAAACATCCTCTTTGGAATAAGTTCCACAAAGCAGCAGTTTATAGGAAGGAGATACTCAAGTGGAACTTACATTTCATGAGAGTGGTTTGCTACAATGTGCATGGCATGGTGGGCCTTTATTTTTAAACAGGCAATAATACACAAATGTCTAGTATTTCATATATAGAACTGAAAAATTGCAAAGCTATTCCTTCTAATTATACGCAAGCTGATATTCTTTCAAGTAACAAATATATCATCGTATGAATAAGTGGCTAGATTAAGAAATGTCTTAATTTAAGTAATATTTTACAAAAACTGTTCTGTATACAAATTCTAACATTTACTTCTGCAATCTTTATAAATGACTGAATGACAAAATTGCCAGGATAATTTCTTACTTACCATTCAGTTAAAGCTAATTACATTTATTTATTTTGATTTTCTTTAACTAACCTGAACAAATTCATATAAACAAAATTTTTTTATTTGTTGAAACCAATGTAAATTCTATTAAATACTAAAATAATACTAAAATATAACGTAATTCCTTCATTCTCTAATATTTTCAGAATTTTCTCCAATAAACTTTTAGTGGTTATTAATATTCAAGACTCTCTTTTCATACTCTTGAAAGTAGCAGTCATGACTTAGTTAACCTAGATCACTTACATTATCTAGTTTACCTATGAAATGTAATTTGGTTTATTTCCTTTGAGCCTTGTTATAAAAATGGAAAAATCTATGTAGTGAATGAAGACAAATTCAGTCAGTTAACAGGTTATTGCCTCCAAGTTGGAAAAAAAAAAAATGTAAATAATGATTGAATAGTGAGTGATTAAGTTCATAGCCAGCACACATACCTAAGTATGTTAATAAAAAAAATATTATATATATATATATATATATATATATATATATATATATATTTCTCATCAACTTCTAGAAATATTTGAAAGAATTCATTTAAAACCAGTAATTAACACCATTTGTTTTATAAACTTTGATTGCCATAAAAGGTAATTTAGTGAAAATTACTTATTTAGTACTTGTACTTGCTCATTTAGCAGAAAGGATTCTGTTGCCGCTAAAATTATTCAACAGTTGTAGATTCAGTTTATGAAATTGTATCAAAGTTGACAATCCCCTGAAAAAATAATCTTTCAATTCACCTGGTCACTTTTGATGCATGTTAAAATTTTTTTCTCCTAAAAAAAAAAAAATCCAGCCAAAATACTGGAAACTTGATTCCAGTATGTGATATGTGGAAACTATAGAAAAAAAAATTTTCTTTAGTATAAAGGATCTTGCTGAAATATATCACCTCAACACCCATAGCATGATTTCAATATCCATATGAATTTGTTGTTCAATATTGTCCTGTTGTAGAGTAAATAAGACGGGTAACATAAATGAACTGGGCAAGACACCTTAAATAAAGAACTCAAAGTGAGTCAGGAAAAGTCTGGAGTCAGAATTATGACATCTGACGAAAAAAGATTTTGTCACATATGCTGGAATAATTAACAAGGAATGTGAATGATTATAGTTAAACGAACACTCCAGATATGTTTAAAGGGTTAATTTTCATTAAAGGGGTTAATGGCAAAAAAAAAAAAAAAGATGCAGAAATATGTGCTAGAATTCTAACAAAACTTAAACATAATCAAAAACTAATACTGCGATAAGTATCGGATGAATGTCAGAAAATCCTGAATCTGAGAGATGATACGGAGGAAATTGAAGAAAAAATGTGCATGCATACAAGAAAAATGTGGAAAAAGAAAAATTATCCATGTTTCATATGTGGAAGGTTATCTCAGATGACTGTCCCTTTAAGAATTCAAAGTGCTACAAGTGTGAAAAAGTAGGATATAAAATGTCACACTGTAAGACTAAAGCAAGGAAAAGTTCTTACAGAAAAAAATTTTGTACAGTGTTGCAACAGATTTACCTATAAATATTTATTGCAAGAATGTAAGTGGATAAGATACCAGTTTAAAAAGTGTGAAGATTTAAAGGAAGAATTGAAAAAATGTTTTCCAGATGTTCTGTTGGATGAGTTGGGTCAGTGTTCCAAAGTCAAAGTAAAATTTCAAGTGAAAAAAGGGGTTGACACCAGTGTTTAAACTGAAACATAGTGTAACATTCATAACATTGGATTAAGTCAATGAAGAATTAGACAGACTTGAAAAAAAAAAAACAAATAGGTGTAAATGAAAAGATTGACCATTCAACAGCAGTATATGCCAAGAAAATGACAAATGAGGCAAGACACCTTAAATAAAGAACTCAAAGCAAGTTGGAGAGAATTCTAATGACACCATGGTAAATAGTCTAAACAAGACCTAATATTTAACAGCTAGGAGTGAGTTATAATATATCCTCATGTTCAGTAATATCTGGTAAATCACAAATATTCATGGCAGGAGTGTGTTTTCTCAAACCCATGTCAATGATTTATGACTGGAGAATAAAGTAACATTTTCTTTGAATCTTCAGGAACTTTCTTTGAAAAGAAACCAATAAGAAATGGTTCATTTAAGAATCTGGTGCAGTCATTTCTACAGTGTAACTGGAACAATCTGTTACTCAATGGTAGTAACATTTGAGTCAGGATAAGTTTTGTCAGTTCAGTAAGAATTTTAATATTTGCAAATTCATCTTGTTTGGTAAAAGTAAACTGTAATTTACTGGCATTTGGATTTTTTTAAATGATTTCTATAAATAGTAACTGAACAGGCAGTGGACTAGGAAAAGAAGCATTCCAAAATTTGAGATACCAAGAAACAAAACAAAATTGATCATTAAAAACAAAGAAAAAGAAGAATCAAGTCTTAATTTTTTTAATGCCTGCTTGAATTAATGCAGTACATTCCTTTTCTGTATTAAACGTATCATTGGACTATTGAACTTTGGCAGTAGTGGTTACACTATCTCTTCTATAAAAGGAAAGTTTTTACTTTTTAATTAAAGAGGTAAGTGGTTCTGATCTAGGGGGTTAGTGATGGGAATTCTTCAAAAAAGATTGTACCAAGCCAATTATATAGATCAGAATTTGCTTCAGTATGTTTAACTTGTAGATATAAATTTGGCAAGTTTAGTGATCAAACTACATTCTTGCACTCGAGTATGAGCCTGTAGTGATATAGACAATTGACACTTAAAAGTGGGTTGACAGTATCAGTGACAACAATAGTCTATCTGTATGGACAGTGTATTCCTAGAATGTCTGTGTTATCTGAAACTTCTCTATAGCATTGGATATCCTGCCTGTTGGCTGATGATAAACAGAAAGGTGGTTGGTTCAAAGTCTAGTCAAAAATTTATATGGTAGAATTGTTACAGATGTATCAATTACAAAATGTCTGTCTGCAGAGCCTACATCAATTGTAATCGCAAACAGCAGTAAGTCATTGGTTGCAGTGGCAACCTGCCCTATTAGTTTTCTAAAGGTATTTAGTTTCTGGCTGATGACCATCTTTAGTTTTGTTGAAAAATACAGGAACTTCTGTCTGGTCAATGACATATGATAGCTTGCAAGATTTTGACTTTCTTCCAGAATAGGTATCTATAATATATCTAGTTTTGCTGATTCTAATAAAATGGATAAAAGTCCCATTAGTGTATCCTGCTAGAGGGAGTCGTAACTTGAATTTGTCTTGGAGGAATCTTGGGGTTAAATGTAGCAACTTTAACCATGTTATATAATAAATGGTGTTAATTAACTGGCTAAAGTTACGATTTTTTTTTTTTTTTTTTTTTTTTTGACATTTAAGTAATTAACTTGTAAAATCAAAGCTACTCAAATTTGACCTTCCTGGCTTAATACTATTGCAGTCAACTGCTGAGTAGACTACATTCTTAATTTCTTATTTAAAATCAACACTTTTGAAAATTTTTTAAATATGATTATTTTTGTCTTTTGATTTAATATAAATATCAATTACCTTTTTATTCATTACTATTTTTTTCTAAGTTTTGTAAACAAAATGGAAATGACTTGACAAAATCCATAAATTTGAAGCTTAATTTGCTACTAGAAATGAAAAAGTCCTATTTGGAAAACTTTTAATGGAATCAATCAAAATATATATATATATATATATATATATATATATATATATATATATATATATAATTTTTTTTTTTTTTTTTAATTTTAAATAATTCCTCTTTGGATGTGATGAACTATATTTCCATCATTTAAATAATACAAATTAACAGTGGCAACAAAAAAAAAAAAACTCAGG